TATATAATATATAATAAATTAACAGTTAAAAAATATATATAAACTCTTTTAAAATATTATTTACGAAAATGCAAATTATTGTAATTACGAGTAAATTAAAAGTGTTTTGATAAGAAATATTTAAAATAAAACTATTTTCTTGTTTTTTAATTTTTATCACTAATTATAACTACTAAGTCTAAAATTATCTATGTTTCTCATTTCTCATGAAAATTGATACTTAAATAAATTACGCTTAAATTTCTATCACATATTCTAGCAAAATTAAAATGACACGTGATGTTTTAAAGTTTTATTTATTTAAATAATCATTATAAATATAATAGCCATCGTATAATAATTTATATATGTATGTGTATGTATGACACAAACAAAATCATATTATTTTATAAACAAATGAAAAACATCAGACATAAAAATATTATCGATTAAAAATAGATAATTGTTTATAAATATATTCATGTATCTTTTATCGTATCATCAATAAATAATTAAAAAATTACGAAATCATAACAACGTTGTATAATTTATTCTATAATTTTAGATAAGTGTTATTACTGTTTGTTTATTTTGTAAAAAATGTGAACCATACTCGATAAAGTATAGTTTAATGTCAGTTTCACTGTGGATAAATTACAAGTAAAATAGTTTAAAAGAAAGAAAGAAATTTAATATAAATATGGGAAAAATATAGATTATTTAAATTCTATATAATATAGTTATCTAATAATGAATCATTAAATTTATAATTCATAGCATCATAGCTAATCTTTTTTACATATAATACACAATTTAGATTACAATAGAATAATTTAATTAATTGTTAAAAAAATAAAAGATTATAAAAATGATATATTTTAAAATGAAAAAAATATGAATACAAATCAATTTTGCATTCTTTAATGAAAATAGTATATGTATTTTATTACTTATTTTATTATTTACTTTATTTTATTACTTGTATAATTGTTATATATATATTATATGATAATTACTGAATTGAAAAAATCTATAAAACCCGTTTCTATTTCACGTAAGTACTTTACAATACTTTGATATCAATTTAAAAAAAAATATTTTTTTTTTTCTATTCAATAATGTTATCTTAAAAATACATGTAATAAAAATCGATAAAAATCGAAAATTCTACAAGAGCTAGAATTTTATTTTTTATGCATGTTTCGATATAGAATTAACAATAAAGAATAAAATTCGAAAATTAATGAAATTTTGAATGTAAGAACTCAAATAGAAATGCATATAAATTTATTATTATTATATTATTTTATTAATTTACTAATTTGAATTCTTAGAAAAATATATGAATAATTAGAATATTAATTAAAATAATAATACATTCGTTTTTTTAAAAATCGATTCTTATAGTTGTATTATTTGAACATAAAATTAAAATAAATATTAATATGAGTGAATGAAATAATATAATTATCAAATATTAATTTATTTTTTTATATTTGGATTATAAACTTTAGTTCATTTATTCATATTAAATTTTAAATCATTTCTGAATTTTTGATTGTGAAAATGTTTAAAAGAATGTGACTTTTTTTTAAAAATAATTATTTTATACTTTTATACTTTTTAAAAATAATTCATTTAAAAATAAATTATTTAATATTTCGTTTAAATTTTGTTCTTATACATTAGTATATATATTATATTTATATTTTTCTATTTTTCTATAGATCATAATCCAAGACAATAATATTTATGTAAAATTATATCTTTTTCTTTGATTAAAAATCAGTAGAAAAATCTTATTTCAAATATATGATATTAAAAATTGAAAAATTTTAATATATACAAGTTTTTCTGTTTCATATTATTATTATATTTTTATAAAAAAAAATGAAGAAACTTAAATGCTATAAAAAATTTTGTTTCTTTAAAATAAAAATTTTTTCTTATATTCTCATCAATTCACATGAAACTTAAAATTAAATTTAAAATCGAAATTTTTTTAAAATTTTATATTTTGTTTATTAAATTATTTTTAATTATTATTGTGAAATTATTATTATGGAAATATAATGAATTATAATAAAAAATAAAATTAAATAAAATTTAATAAAATAATAAAAAATAAAATAAATCAATAGATTTTATTGTCTTTATATTATTAACGATAGGAACACATTATTAACATAAAAAATGTAATTTCTTACAAGAGTATATAAATAATTATTAAAGCTTAAAACGAAGCAAAATAATCGATTTTCTATCGAGATTCTATTGCCTCAATAAAATTAAAATGATAGTATAAAATGATAAATTCATTTAAATCAAAAAAACTTTACTTATACATAATGATAAAAAGAAAAAATAAAATAAATAATTAAAATGAGAAGTATTTAATAATACTTTCAAAAAGATTATCATAATTAATACATATAAAATGACATATAAATCATCTTATAAAGAAATATGATATATTTTATACAAGAAAAGAATTAAGTTTTCTTAAAATGAATTATGTTTCTTATCTGATAAAAAAATTATGAATTGTATAATTATACAATGTAAATTATTACATTATTATTAATCTATTGATTAAAATTATTTTAATCAAGATTATCCTCATTTTATAAAATTTACTCAATAATGTTGATATTATGTTTTTTTTTTATTTATTTAGTGATTTTTATTCACTAAAATGAAATTAAACAAATTAAATAATTTATATAATAATTTTTTTATATAATAATTTACATAAATAAAAATATATTAAAATATATAATAATCTTATAATAATTCTAAAATATTATAGAATTCAATTTTATATATAATTAATAATTTAAATGATTTATGTAAATAATTTTTAAAATTTATATTTTTTATTGTTCGATAATAATAATACATATATGTATGTATGTATATATCTTAATGTACATACATACTCATTATTGGTATAACGTAGCCAATTTCATCTAACGACCAATGATATCCAATTTTATTAATGCTATCCTGACTTATTACATCCTTTCAATTTGCGTCGTTTTTATTACCAACACTAAAGCATTTTTTGATATTAAATTCATATCTATTTATTAAATTATATAAAACTAATCATGTACAATAATTATATATATTTTTATATTTAACCATATAT